CACTGTTTTCCTTCTCAAAACCGAGTAGAGTTTCTTCTTCTACAGTGGCTTTTCCAGGTGACACGTCTTCAACAGTTTCATTTGTTCCGATGTTCACTTCATCCCAACTGAAATGTCCTAGACCGTGATCATGCCAAATCCTGTTGGCATGCGCCACCTTTGGCTTACCTCGCCGATCACATTTTATTTGGAAAGTCACGTCTGAGAGACGATCCATTATGTCATATGGGCCTTCCCATGGAGAAGACAACTTAGGAAACTCCCCTTTTGTCTTCCTGGGATTATACAACCACACCTTGTCTCCTGGTACAAAGCTGACTTCAGTAGATATCTTATCATAAGATAACTTCATCGAATCAGCAGACGTTTTCAAGTTTGAACGCACTTGATGGTGAATATCATCCATTCTTTCAGATAACACTTTCACAAACTCTGACACATTTTCAGACAACTCTTCATAAGGTGGGCGTCCTGTTAACAGATCCACTGGCAACCGAAGTTCCCGACCAAACAACAACTTTGCTGGAGTGTATCCAGTGGCTTCATGCTCTGATTTAATATCTATACCTGGTTCCATTTAACCATCATCAACTCCTTCAGTCACTTTGACTTCAGCTTGATGACATCTAATTAATTCAACCTCTCTTTTAACAGTTACCGGAACTTGCCTTTGTTGTTCCCAAACGTCATTTTATCAAAATTAATTACAAACTTCCTCGGTAGTAAGTAGTCCAATCCTAATATGCAATTCCACTATTCGTTGGTAAAAGAGTAGCCCAAGAGTTGGCGGTGGGTGGTGTTGACTAGCTGCCTTCCCTTTAGTCTTATACTTCTAAATTAGGGACGGCTAGCGCAGATAGCCTTCGTGTAGCTTTGCGCGAAATTCAAAAACAAACGAACGTCTCACGTGCTCGACTCAACTGTCAATTACACATTACATTGTTGCCGTCGCTTCTTGGCGGCTTATATATACTGCATATCTAGTAGTCTCTCGAGACTTCAGGAAGAGACAGGATCCTTCTAGAAGTTCATGACGTGTTACTACAGTCACGTGACTTCCGCTGTAGTAACAGTATTTTGTTGAAATTATGTAAATGTGTAGAAAATCATTTGGGATTTGTGGAAAGAATGAAAGTTAGTAATTCAACTCCTGACTGATTCAAGGCTATTAAAATAGTTCCAGTTTTGCATGTTTTGGTATATTTTTTATATGTGAAGTGTATTTAATCTAATCAATAGGGTAAAATTCTAATCCTCAATCATTACTTGTTTAGAAATTGTTTGGTAAAGGTTTTCTTATTGTTTTACTACTCATTTTGTATTAAAGTCTTTTTATTTCAGATAATGTGACTGTTTTAATATAAATATGTGAAAAGATAAAGCTTATAACTTGAAATGAAAGTTATCAAGATAATGTGAATTTATATTTAAAAATTTTATACTAATCCTTGTAAAATCAACTCCTGATTCTTAAGTTATTTCTCTGTAGTCTTACTGTGAAACTTTTTTTACAGAATATACAGGTGACGCTTCTGTGTAATCATTGGAGTATTAAAGATGGAGGAAACATTTTCTGATGAGAAGCAGAATGTTTTGTTGGATATCAAACTGATGAAAAATGAAGATAAAACTTTCACAATAACTGATAGTAAGTCTATATATTTAGAATATTAATGTTTTGTATTCATCTCAAGATAATAGTGGAAATTTCACCTGTTTTAATATAGCAGTATGCTTGAGTTTTTCATCATTAACTCTTTCATGCTATAGCTTTGAAATTAGTAAGCAAATGTTAAATTTGACGTCTTATCAGTAGACATTATAATGTTTTCATATTCAAAATATCTAATTTTTTTATTAAATCTTAAGGTTTGCAAAACAATGTTTTTCTTGTGCCTTTTTTTCTTTTCACATGTTACCTATCTATCATGCAAAGTAATTTTTCTTTTAAGGTTAAAAAATACTTTTATGCATCAGAAAATTTTCAAATTTCACATGCAAAATCTTTGTAATGTCTAGATAGTTATCAAACATTTCTTAATAAAAACTTTATATTTTATCTATTATTTTCAGTAATTAATCTCTCTTTGGGTTCAGTAGATTTGACGGATCTTGCAACCACCATACAAATTTGGGAATAAATACCAATTATGCCTCTTTTATTCTAGAATTACACAAATTATAACACGAAGACATAAATTTTTAGACTAAATAGGGTCAGTTCAGAGTAACTTGTCTTGGCTGTGTTTTAGTTGACTAGTATTTTGAAAATTAGTCAATTATTATAATTTCAATTATTATACATTACATATGTATATAGATTATTCCTATTTTGAAATAAGTTCATAAACTTATTTTTCTTAAAGCATAAAACAGTAAATAAAGAAGTAAAGCAAACAATTATCTCTTTTAGTTACGATCTTTGTGCTCAGTTACTGTTTGACATAAGTTGCTAAGCCTTTAAAAACTTTGTACGTGGAGGATATGAAAGGTTTTATATATGCATTTGAAGAACTAAAAAATAATACATTACAACATCAATACCGTAGAATTCCAGTCTGAAATTTTGAGCATACCTTACCTCCTTGAAATCTTGGTTCCAAAAAAGAAATGGTGTCCTAAGAATTTAAAATGGCTGAGAAAGCCACTAGGGAGGACATTATGAGCTTCTGATTGGTTATTCATGTCATATATATAGAAGTAAGTGTATATAAGGGAGTGTGTGATTTGTTACATGAGCAATATCTTAGCAAATAGCTTGTCAATATCGATAATTTGATTTCTAAATCGTACGAAACTGTAGTCTTAGTATTTTGACATCATAAACATCTAATTTGAACCAGTGCTGCATTCAAAAAACCACATGACACACAAACATTGATGTTTATCTGTGTTTACTTTTAAATTAGGAAAT